CAGGCTTCTGCCAGCTTGGATGGAAAGCTGCAGACTCAGCTCAAGTGAGAAGGAGTCTTCTCCTCATCTCTTTCCATTTTTGAGTCTCTTTAGTCAGGAATCTTCCAAGTAGGAAAGGATAGAAGGGTTGGTTAGCAAGGGTCTGCCCTGCCCTGCTCAGTGTGATACTTCCCAGGACTTGAGCAGCCCTCACTGTGTTCGTGTCCTGAGCGGGGAGAGCTCTGCTGGAGCTCTTCCAGTGCTGCTGAGAATGAGGGGATTTTCTCTCTCCAGATGCAGATAGCTTGGGCTTTGGAAAGAGAAAAGTCCATGTTCAGCCCCTGCACATGCAGCAGCTCCTGCTGGGTTGTGCAAGCCTGAGTCTGCTGCGCGTATACATGACCACACTGAGAAGTGCATGTGACAGATGACAGCACTGGCAGAACTTCATTTAATTATCACTGTTATTGTTGTTCCTATAAGCAATTAAATGATTTGGTTTTTAAAACAAACCTGTATTTCAAAACAAGCATAGCGGGTGGGGGGGGGGGGGTGTCAGTTTGGCAAAGGATATTCGGTTGATTGTAAGGCATCCTGTCTGGAGCAGAGATAATGGAGTGCCTGGATGGTTGCTCAATGATGATGGATTGGTGGGGAATTGCTCCTGGACCCTGTGAGCAGCCCTCTGGGGCCTGACAAGGCTTGTGCTCCGCTCTCCTGAGGGTTGTCTTGCACAAGGGCTGGGGCAGTGATGTTGTAAAGAGCAGGTGGGTCAGCCCTGAGAGCCACACCTCGCGTGGGGTGCCATCCGTCTTCGCTGTCACCGCTGCTGCTTTTTGGTTGCCTGGAGCCCTTGAGCTGCGTGGTGGAGAAACACAGATATTTACAGCTCTGCAGATGTGCACAGGAGCAGTGCACAGCTCCCGCTAGGCTGCGCAGCAGCAATGGAGACGGATGCTTTCATTTGGCACTGTAAAGCTCATCCGGCTTTAGCACGTCTCCCGCTGCTGATTTTATATCTTCCAGACCATGGTTTGCTAAACAGCTTCCAAACCAAGCGGAGGCTGCAATCCCTGCCCTGTGGAGCTGTGAATGTTAGGAATTATCCAACTGCTCAATGTTAGCAAGGCTCCCAAGTCACTTCCCTGTGCCTTTATACCTGGCAGCAAGAATTGCTGCTCCATATCCAGCATGTCCACCTGCCCCGGATCCTTCTGGATGTGGGCAGTGAGATGGAATGGGGCAGTGGGCAGCCAGAATATCTGAGTTCCTCTCTTGGCTCATCCAGTGTGAGAACTGGGATGAGTCCTTCATCTCCATCCACCCCAGGGCTCTGATTCATATGTGCTGAGCACACAGCAGTGGGTCTGTGGGATGCCTGTGCACCCTCCTCACCGTCCACCAGCAGTCACAGCCCTGCAATGAGCACATGGAGGCACGTGCCCCTGAGCCACAGCTTCTCCTGATGAATTGCTTAAAGCCTCCCACAGCAGTGCAGATGGAAGCCTCCATGTGAGCTGCCCTGCTTTAAGCCCCCCTGCTTGCACTGCCAGCTCATGGCTGTCCCATTCTGTGGGGGATGGCAAAACCACAAAGCCCAGCATGCTATGTCCTGTGTTAGAAGCAAGGGGGAGAGGAGGCAGGAGCTCTTAGGTGGGAGGTAAGGACCCATGGGGGTTGTCTCCATGTAGCTCTCTTGTAAACTTTGACCCCATGCTCTCCACCTCCAGCCCACCCCACATCCCTGCTGCCCCCAGGCAGGAGAATGCAGCCATTAGGAGGAGATGGGACAGAGGACTCAGCAGGAAATCAGCCCCTCTCCCTGTGACCTGAACACTGCTGACTGATGAATCAGGGAAGATTCAGATTCCTGACATCCTGCCATTACTTATTCATCGTGTGGTACAGGATACATCAGTGATGCTCAGCACTTCGCTCGTGCAAAGGATGCCAGAGCTTTGGGGGTGGGAAAACAAATTATTTTTGAAGGTGGCTGCATGAAGCAGGCATTGTGTGTCCAGGCAATGCCTTATTCTCAAATCCCCTCTCTGCTTCTTTCTCTGCATCTCACTGTGAGCCCATGGTACCCTGGGTACCTTCAGCACACCAAACGCCGTGATCCATTCAGAGGCTGTAAGTGCATAAGAAACAAATTTCACCCCAAGTTTCTCCAGCACAGCAGTGAAGACATCCAGGGACAGGAGCAGCCTGCTGATCTCTGAGCTCCTGCTTTGAGTTGCAGTGTCTGTCCTAGAAAGAAGCTTTGTCTTAGTGGTATGCAACATGGCTCAACCATGCTGCAGATAAATGCTGCAGTACTTAACTAGCATTGCATTTCAAAATCTATGTGAATTTGCAGAATTCTTGTAAGCCCTGGCATCTCTGGGAAGTGTTGCATGGCTCAGGTCTCCCTTTTTATAGAAGTATGAGAAGAAATAATTACACTTACCAAAGAGTTCCAGGGTAAATTCATCCCGGGCAGCCTGGAAATGTCACAGCAAAGCAGGGGTGTGAGCCTGAGCCTCAGAGACTGCATGCACAAGCACAGAGATAGGGAGAGGGACTGAAACAGGTATGGGGATGAGGACAGGGAAGGGGACAGGGACAAAGAAAAGGGACAGAGACACAGGCAGGAACACCTCAGGTCTTGGTCAGACCCTGCCTGGTGATGCTGAACCTGATGCCTCCCCTTCTCCATCAAGACAAGCTGGTCAAATAATGAGCTTTTATCCTTAAGAAAGCAATGTAGTTCTTCTTCTCCCAACCCTACACGAAGGAAAATGGTGTTGGTCTTTGGGAAAGGTACAAACACTGCCAGTTTTCATGATGCCCTGAATGGGATTGAGGAGGAAAATGTTTGCAAAGCAGTCACACAGAGGTGTCCCATCCAGCCAATTCTTTCACTAAATAACAAAATGTACAGCTAGAAGAAGTGTGGTCTATCTTTGGTAATACGTGGCAGCCACTGAGGGAAAGTTGAAAAGTGGCTTGAATTTAATCTCTGGAAATGAATGCAGTTTACTGCATGTTTTTTTTTTTTTTGGGGGGGGGGGGGGGCAGTGAAAATGGTTATACTGTTTATTAAGCAGCAATCCATAGGAGGCTGTGCAGATCTGTTCCTCCCTTAGGAAAACCAGGGCTGGGAGCACAGTGTGTGCGCCTGCGCAGGTAACCCGCCTAGGGGCAGGCGGATGATTTCAGGCTGCATTTCTACCTGCTCTTCCAACCCTTCCAGCTCACGCTTCCCTGCCCTCCCTCTCTGCCCCTGCCCATTTGGGAGCACAGATATAAACCCTCCAGCCAATATGTTTCCTATGGGGGACAGTGAGCTTTGCCTGGAGGGTGCTCATGGCTCTCACCTCATCCCAAAGCTGTCCTTAAAGACGGAGCGAGGCAGTTCACTGCCTGCAACCACAGAAGCTCCAGAAGCTGGGCAAGTTGTTCTCCTGACAATTCACCTCTCCCACAGGTAAGTACTGCTGGGATGAGCAGCAAGTACTGCTTTTCTATTCCTTTCTGCTTCTCCTGTGCATGTCTCCAGCATCCCCTCGCCTCTTCTTGACTCAGCGAGGAGATGGCATTTACCCTCCAGGATCTGCTTCTTTGCTCACTTGGAGATGGGCTTTACCCTCCTGGGTCTACTTCTTTTCCTATGCAACCACTTGTGTTGCTGTAAGCACGTGATGCACAACACCAGGGAGCAGCAGCTCATCCCTGTGGAGCATATGAGCCCATGGAAACCCAACATTGCAGAGCCAGGGCACAGCCCAACCCACCTGCATCTCCTTTCTGCTGCTTTTATTGATGCAGTCTCACCTGCTTGGGAGGACACAGCCCAACCCACCTGCATCTCCTTTCTGCTGCTTTTATTGATGCAGTCTCACCTGCTTGGGAGGAATCAGCCTGGATTAAAGAAAGGATGTCATTAATTTGTAATTGGAAGGGAGCAGTGCAGGTTTATCCACAAGTCGGTTTGCCTGATAGAGGCAGGGGGCTGCAGACGAGCTTGTGGCCATGTTGCATTTGCAGGCTTTCTGCCTTTGGACTTCTTGGGAAGAGAGGCAGAGGAAACTGGTTGCTTCTCAGCCTTGCACACCTACGGCCACTGCTGAGCTCAGCAGCGTTCCTCAGCTGCTGTAAGCAGTTTCTCCATAATAACACAACTAACCAAGGAGCGATTGTAAGATAAACTTCCCTTCCTTGTGCTAGACCCAAAGCTGAGAGGGATTTAAAGGGAGCGCTGCTTTCCACTCATTTCTTCCTGTGCCTTGGGCATGCTCAGTGCCAAAGAGCCGCAGCAGCCCCAGGAGCTCCAGCGTCCCCAGCACTGAACCCCGGAGTCTGAATGGTGTTCCCAAACCTCCAGGTTTGGCACCCGTCTCTGTCAGCCTCCAGAATAGCTCCAAAGCCTCAAGGATTTGTGAACAAGGAACTTGATTGGAACACTGATTTTTTCCAAAGGCTGAGAAATGATGTGCAGATGGTGGGTAGGAAAAGAAATGAAGAGGAAAGGTTGGATTTTGGTTAGAATCCTGCTCAGAAATGCAATTCCTCCTCTATCAGAGGCCAGGCTGAGGATAAGAGGTGTGAAGCTTGGATGCCTTTCACTTGGCTTATTGCATTCAAAGTGGAATCACTGCCGGCAAAGGGACACAATCCCAGGCCTTTGCTCCATGCCTCAGGATTCTAGGAACATCCCAAGTCTGAACTGGTGCTTGCACTGAGCTCCAGCCCTGGGGTGAATGCTGCAAAACGATGAGAAAGGACGGAGCCAATGAGCAATAAACCCTGCAGATCTCCACTCCCAAAAGGTAGCGCACAGCCCATGAGGTGTGGGGAAGTCCTCTTGGCAGCAAGATCTGAGTCATAAAGAAAGTGAAGCAAAGGCAGAAGGCAGGGTGACAAGGGCAGGGCTGGGACATGGAGCAGCAGTGACCCCCAAAGAGGGATGTTAGTGCTACGGATGTGGCGACGGTGACCATTCCAAGCTCAGAGCTCAAGGATATTTCCTAGGGTCGTTTGTGACTTCTGATTGCGGGGAGAGAGCAGGAAATGTCTACAATGCAATGTGTGCTGGGAAGAGGATGAGTCTTTCATAGCAGGGTAAGGATGCTGTACAACATGAGCGCGTGCAGGTGTGCAAGGGGCCGGTGGGCAGCACACTTCTCCCCGTTCCGTTTGTGCACGCAGGTGCATGACTAACCCACTCCTCTCCTTCTGCCCAGGCAACCCAACGATGCCGAGTATATTCTCCTACCAGAGCTCTGAAATTGACTGGTGTGAAAACAACTTTGTGCGCTCGCCGATCATCGCAGAGTACTACAACACGGTGAGTGTGGAGCATCCCAAGGGCAGAGCTGCCTTTGGGATACGAGATGGAATGGGTCAGCCACGTTTGCTCCCCTGCTCTGAGCTTCCTGCTGTTAGAGGGTGTTTAATTGGGGAGCTGTATGTAAATCCTGGGGGTTTGCTGCCCATAAGCAGAGCTGGGGTCTGGGATTCTCCAGGCACACATGGGGCTGAGTTCCCACTGAGCAAAGTCTGGCAGTGCTCCTTAGCCCAGATTGGTGAGATCCTGTTATACCAGTCCTGCAGCTTGCCTGCCAACTGGGGTAAGTCCCACACAGGGCTCGTATATTCCAGCTAAATGTACAGGAGTGGCAGAATGAGAGACAGTGCTTGCATGAACCGCGTCGGGCAGGTTGGGAATCTGGAACTCTGGGCAGAGGAAAGCAGATGTGGGAGTTTCACCTCCTGTGATCCCCTTTGTAATCAGGCTCCTTTCAGCACCAGTCCCACATGCACTGACATCCATCTGCAGGCACCCGCTGTCTGCGAGTGCGTCCCTCTGCCTCCATGCAATTAGTGCTGGCAGGGGCATGAGGCCATTTACAGCCTTCCAAAGGCCTTGTTTACAACCTTCAGCAGTTACCTTTGAACACTGGAAGTTCTTGTTTCTCGTGGAAATGTCTCTTCCTTTTTTTTTTTTTTTTTTTTTTTTTTAAAAAGCATTTCCTGTTTCTAATAAATGACCTCTAATAACTATAATACCCTCTCCAGTCACACAGTTCCAATTGACCTGACAGGGTCATGCAGGAGGGATGCACGGGCTGTGTGCAGTCCCTTCTCTTTCAGGCACTGAAATAAGGACCTGCTGGTCCTGCTGCCCCCCAGTACTCAGCTCCTGGTCTGGTGTCTGCTGCCCCTGATGGATGAGTACAGGGTGCAGAGCAAAGGGGTGCAGAAGTCACTGATGCTCCCAGCAGCATTCTGAATGTCGCTGGAGGTGCCAAATGCCTCTGAGTTTGAGAACCTCATTGGCAAGAGTGGAGAGGGGCTTAACTCCAAACAGATCAGAAAGTCTGAAAGTTGGACTTTTAAAATAAGAATTAGTACTGGAAGAAACATTCGCCCAAGCTCTGAGGTCAGCACTCAGATAGCATTTTCCCAACGTGTCTTTGGAGCTGAGACCATATTTTTACAAGGACTGTGATTTATACCCCCTGTTGGAGTGGCTCAGGATCACACCAAGAGGTACCTCAGGAGCTCTGTCCCATGTCTGAGCTCCCAGTGGCACACTGCCAGACCCCAGCTGCTATGGTCAGGTGCACAACCGTCCTCCTAACGTCCCAAAGTCCTCTGAACCCCATAAAACATTAACTCTTAGATCTCTGCCTTTACAGCAGAGGAAACCACTCCTGCAGTTTCTGGCTTGGGATATAATTCTTGTTTAGGGAATGGCCAAGATCAAGACTTGCCTTGCTGCCTGCAGCAGGACTGCTGTATGGACTTCTCTCCAAAACATAGGAGGTAGAAGAGCAAACCCTGAGGAACCACTGCTGTCTGAGCAACTGACAACAGTCCCCAGAGCTGCACTGTGCTCAGAGCAGGGAATCCAAAGCCAGCAGGAGCAACACCTCCATGGCATCGCCCTCGGTCCATGCAGGCTAGCTCTCAGCCCTGCAGCACTGGGAAACACTCTGCTCAGAGCACCATCCTAGGCGTGATTCCAGAGTCCTGTGTCTCCCTCTCTTCTCCATTCCTTTGTTCCCCATGTTCAAATCTTCAGATCGCTTCCTCCCTGCTCAGGCTTTATGGACCTTGTCTCACTGCCCTGCCTGGAGACAATTATATCAGTATTGACTTCAGCACCGCTTTGTCAGAGTTTTAGACTAGCTGGGAACCCAGCCAGCTCCTACTCAATGCTCCTAAAGCAGCAGGGCTTCCTAATGGAGCATCCTTTCTGCATCTTCTTCCCAACACTGCCCATGGCTCCAGCTGGAAGCTCTGTGTCAGCAGCAACATACTGCTGAGCATCACTCTGCAGCAGACGCTCTCACTCTCATCCCTGCCTGGGTTGGATGCTTTTTATTAGGAATAAGCACCAGGGGTATGAGCAGAGAATGTAAACAATATCGTAAAGTCCCTAATAATTAATACATCGTGGCTCATGATTGCACTGCAATTCAGTGACAAAGCTCTAACTATTTATAGTGAGACTCGGTGACCCAGAAATTTATTGTCTTCTGGCTGTTTGCAGTTGAACAGTGTTGTGCTACATGAGGGTCATCAGTCAAGGACCTGTCATTCTACTCCCCTTTTTTTTTTTCCTTCCTGCAATAACCAATGAGGATGCTGGTAATGACATCCAGATCCTCAGCACTCTCTGGCTAAGCACCAGGAGCTCTCACACTGTCAGATAACCACAGCTCCATTGATAAGCCTGGAGATAAGCCTGGCTGCAGGTGTAAATCACCCACATATGCCAGATACTCATGCTGGAGTTCAGCAGCCCCATGGCAGTGGGGACACTTCACACTCTCCTCACCCTGCAGTTTGTGTGCAGCCACGCTGCTGCTTGCTGCCCCAAACACGGTGTGACACCACGATGCAGGACGGGCAGCCCCTGCTTCTGGCTATTAGGAATTTGCTCTGCACGTCCAGAGAGCCTTGGAGATATTTGCTTCCATCTCGGGCTCTGCAGGCTCTGCTGTCAGTGAAAGCCAGGTCTTTGGTCTTTAAGGGAGTGAATGCACTGCAGCAACACTTTGAGAAATCTCCTTCCACTGCAGAAAATCATACAATCAGAATTCCAGAGTGGTTGGGATGGAAGGCCCTTAAAGGTCATTCTGTCCAGCCCAGGCCACGGGCAGGGCCTTCTCACATCAGATCCATTCAGCCTGGCCCTGAGCACCTCCAGAGATGGGGCACCCCTACCTGCTCTGTGGCAGCACACACTTGGGTTGCCTCTGTCTCATTTCTGTGCTTACAGAGCACAACCAGCACCTGCTGTCCCAGTCCATCCCAGGAAGCCATTCTCACTCTGCTGGGCATGGAGAAGCGGATGGCCCTCTGCAGGGCTTTCCTTTCCTTTTAGGCTGCACAGCGTACATTGCACAAGCCCTGGGGCCTTTCCCGTGATCCTGCTAATGCAGCAGGATTACAGGCATGTCACTGTTCCCAGCCTCACTTTTCTCCTAGAAAAACAAGCAGGGCTGGGACCTGACAGGTGTTGAAGACCCCCAGTTGTGGGTCCCTCGCGGCTCTGCCCCAAGCTCTGAGCCTGGCTGCTCTGCAGGGAATCACTGCAATCTGCTGGCACGGTTCTCCTGATCATCCCTCCCTGCTGATATCTGATCTTGCACTTCTCAGGCTGAATTAATGAAGTGATAATGTTGCTATCATGTAATTAATGGTGCTGTTGCAATGCCCACTGCAGCAGGGATCCGGACCTCCCTGTGTGCAATCTCAGACTCCCGCGTTTCCTCACTTGGACACACATGCTGGCACTTGCATACTGCTGTGTCTTCTGCAAGCATTTGCTCTCCTTGTGATCCCTGCCTGTTTTCCAAAACCCTCTTGAACCATTTCACAGGAAAAGAAATGCTTACAACGCAGTTGGTTACTTCAACACATAGTTTGGTTTCGTGATCATTTCCAAACTGTCTGACCTCAAGCGTGCATTGGAACCAGCACTTCCCTTCTCATTTTGGAACAGAGACAGGCCTGGATTTGGCTGTAAGCACACACAGAGAACCTATACATTTGCCCTAAGAATTGCTGTTTGTAGGCACATGGACTGGTTTCATGAAAACCACAGTGAAATTCAAGATTGATCTCTGTTTGTTGAAGGGAATTGAGGCCTTACATTAAATGTGAAGGGTTCTTCCCTCTGCAAGGTGAGGGGATGTGCTTCAGGTCTATGACAACATCCCTGGGATTTGCAGCCCTCTTCCCCTAAACTCACATCCCTCTGTGCCATTGCAGTGTACCTGGTGCACAGTGGGGATGCAGAGGGATGAGCCTGCAGCTTTGGGGTGACACTCCAGGCTGGGCTCTGGGACAGTGTCTGGCTGGAATATGAAAGGAGAATTGTCAGGGTGAGATAAAAGCTGTGCTGGTGGCTGGCCAAATAACAGCATGGCAGATGGCTGTGCTTGGCTCTTCCAAACCCACTGCACTGCCTGGCAGGTGGAACATTCCACCAGATCCTAACCTTTCGTGCGCAAGAGAGATTTTCCTTAGGGACACTGAGCTTCCTGGTGATACTCCATTTATTGTGTTTGCACACCAGGTGACAATGCCTCACTTGCAGAGGTGAGGGCTGCTTCAAACTCTCTTCCTCCCTTGCTGCAGGGTGGAAAGGGCCCAATCCAGCAGTCAGGTGCAGGCTTAGAGCACTCCCTGCTCCTTCTCAGCTCCTGTGTTCTGCCCGTCAGCATCTGCTGCTTCTCGAAATGCTGGCACTGTCACCAGGATGAATCCCCATGCATTTTCCTCCACCCCAGCTGCACCAAAGCCTGGCAATGCAGCAACTGTGCAGAGCTGGAAAACAGGGATGAATTATTTTGCTATGCATTCATTCACAAAGCATGTTCAGATAACTTTTATGACTTCATTTAATTACTGGCGTCCAGCCTACCTCCCTCCCTAGGGCAGGTGGCTTTGCATGTGACACCACAGGATGCCACCTCAGTCCAGCCCCACCTATGGGTGCCCTGCAGGTCCTGCTGCTGTCCATTGCACCTGGTTCACAGAAGCATACCCTGAGCTTGCTGTCCTCATAGAGAGCACAGCCCAGCTGCTATCACATAAGAGCCATCCTTCCAGCCCCAGCCTCACACCTCAAGAAACGCCTCTGCCCTTCTCCAGTGCCAAGGGCAATGCCTCCACACAGTGCTTTTCTCCAGAGATCCGTATGCTCTCCACATGGGGACATACTGAGACATAAGGTAAGATGGGACCTGCCCAAGATCATGCAGCAAACTGACTGTGTCTCTTGTTTTGCAGGTCAGCAATGTATGCTTCTTCATCCTTTCGGCTGCCCTGCTCCACCTGAACCGGCAGTACTGCCAGCAGCGCACCGTGCCCATGTACTTCATCTCTGGCCTTCTCCTCTGCGTAGGTGGGTGCCAATTTCTTGAGATCAGGCTGCAGAGCATTCATTCACGCTACCTTTAGCTTTGGAGATGGGTTTGTAGTGGCCAAAGCAAGGAGCAAGCTGGGGTGAGGAACTGGACAGCCATATACGTGTGAAGCTGCAGCTCGTGGCTCCTGCTGGCTCTGGGTACAGAGCTTCATGCCCTGTAAAGCCATGGGTCTGCCATTCCTGCCCTTCAGGAATGGTGTTTCTCTAAGTACTTCCCAGTCCAGATAGGCTTCTCCTGAGACAGAGCTGCACTGATACAAGCTGTCCTCACTCCCTGCAGGTATCTTCTCCATGTACTTCCACATGACCCTGAGTTACGTGGGACAACTCTTGGATGAGCTCTCCATCCTCTGGACGCTGGCTGTGGCATATTCGTTTTGGTACCCAAGGGCTCACTTCCCCAGGTGCATCAAAAGCAGGTATGGCTCAGTGGGAAATGAGTTTCCAGGCTGCAAGGGATGGGAAACTGCTGTTGATATGTGACCCTAAAAGCCAGCTCTCAGCATTTTGCTCTTTGGCCAGACCCTACACTACTCACTTCTGGATCCTTACAGAGGGGCACAAAGCCCCTGGAAAGGGCTGTTCAGAGCTCCTGTTGCCTGGAGCTACCTGCCCTCACAAAGCTGTACAGGAAGCTTTGTACAAAGGATCTCAAAAAGAAGAGATTTGGGCAAGTTTTTTTTCTTGGTGTGATTGGATGGGGACAGCTGTGTTAGGAACATGGGGACTGCTCCAGTTTGTGCACATCTTTGAAGGGACTGGAAGTCCTCCAGCCTTTAAGGGAAGCAGAGAACCATCTGGGGCAGTGCAGGACTTGGGCACTTCACACATACTAGGAAATTACATGTTCCTGAGCACTGACATTGAATTACCCATGCTGTCAAACTCTGGTAGCATCCCCTGACATTATCAGAGGGGATGGGGCTTTCCATAGGCCAAAAAAGTCCAAGATAACATCCCGTGTTGCAAAGGGTGTTTGCAGAAGGGCTGGATGCAGAAGGGCTGGGTTGCAGCAGGATGGATGGAGGGATTGAGATCAGCAACAGGAGCTCAGCAGAGTTTTGTTAAGAGGATGCTCCCGTCCTGGCAGGCTTGCTGAGCCCTCCGATACAGCCCTTAACAGAGCTCGCTCCCATCCCGCTCCTCCCATGCCACGGAGGAGGTCACCGGGAGTTCACTGCGGAGACGTGGCTGGGGGAGGCAGCGAGAGGGGAAGGGACTTGGGAAGGGATTTGCATGTGAAAGGCCTCTCCGAGCCCTATTGTTGCTCAGTCAGCCCAAATCCGCGCTGCTGAAGGCCCTGCCCCCGCTGCTGGGACAGCAGCTCTGCAGCCCTTCCCTCTGCACAGCTCCATGCCTGGCTCTGGCATCGCCGTGGCGGTGCACGAGTCATCCTCAGCTCTGTCCTGGACCGACCAGGGGATTTAGCAAAGCAATTTCTCGGGCAGTTCTTGAGAAACATAAAATATATCCCGGCTTTCCTGCCAGGACTTCTGCAGAGCTGAGGACGGTTATATGCAAACAGGTTGGAGGTGCTGGAGGGTGGCTTCCTTTCTCAGGCAACAGCCAGCACCATCCTTTACCTGCTGCACTGCGAACCCTGGAGGCACTGATACTCACTCGCAATTCTGTCGTCCCTTTAGGAAGCAATTCTACTGGTTGGGTGGTGTCACCACCGTGATCACCACCTTGATGTCCTTCATCAAACCATCCATCAATGCCTATGCGCTCAACTGCATCGCCTTCCACCTGCTGTACCTGACCTGGCGCGAGCTGAAAAAGTAAGGAGGAGGTTGAGAAGTTCATCTCTGCCATCTCTGCAGCTCTTTCTCCTTTGTGCGGGATTTGGGAACCAGTGTGGGGTTGAGGGGAACCCACTGGGATCTGGGGAGAAAGACGAAGGTGTGTTAGCATCTTGTAGCATCACTCTCACCCACTGAAGGTCAGAAATTCCTTTTGCAGAGCCACACTTTTCCAGTTCTTGTGCTCTGATGAATATTCTTGAGCAGAAACCCACCAGGTTTTGCCCTGTTGCATTAGCACATGCAAACAGGAACCTGCTGGCCCTTTTTCAAACTCACTTTCCTTCCATCCTTCCAACACAGCTCCCGTCTCCCTCTCTTCTCACTGTGTTTTCCAGGTGCAATGACCAACGTGTTCACCGGATGGCCAAAGCCATGGTGGTGTGGTGGGTGCTGGCCATCACCAGCTGGTTAAGTGACAGATGGCTTTGCTGGCTCTGCCAGGCGATCAACTTCCCTTATTTCCACAGCTTCTGGTAAGTCTCCAGCGGAGAGGGAGGAAGCCTGGCTTAAATGTTTCAGAGCTGAAGGGCCACAGAGGAGGAGGAGGGAGGGCAGGAGGGATGTGGTACTCAAACAGGGAGCAGCTGCATCTGTGCCTCCCCCTCTCCCACTTTGCTCTGTCACTGTTGGTGCTGCTCCTCATCCTGGCCCCAGCCCAAGGACTCATCCTAATCGCTGCTAAATATCCCTTACCTCCTCCATACCAACAAATGTGAAATTGTTCTAAAACCACTCCAGGTAAGCCACTTCCTTTCAAGGCACTACATCTGCTCCCAGGAAGCCATACAAAGTGCAACGCCCTTTATTTTAACAACCAAATTGAAAGACGGTGATTTGCTTTAGGAAGACATTTCAGTCCCTCGCCAAACATTGTTGTAAGTGCCATACAATGTGCGCTTTCAGATTCATCCTCCCAAGTAACTGGGATGACCAATTCAGATACCCAGACCTTCTGTGCTATGCCAGGCAAAGTAAACGGGGTGGTTTGGGGTTTAAGTCTCCTGTGTCACCCCAACTGCCCCAAACCCAGCTCTCAGAGCTCTTCTGGGATTTCTCTGTAGGCACAAACCCTGCAGGACCCATAGATCTTGTATACATTGCAGGGTTGTATACATTTGACATTTGCCTGCCATTGCCATGCAATGTGACAACTTCAGCCACACGCAGTCACAAGGTGCAGGAGGGCTGTTAGTGTTACTCCTCTCCCACACATCTTTTTTGCTTCCTTGACAGGCACGTGCTGATAGCTGTGTCCCTCCTCTACTGCTTCCCACTGGTCATGTACTTTGACGTCACCTATGAGATGCCAGCATTCAAGCCAAAACTGGGATATTGGCCCAGTGACTCCTGGCCCATCGTGGTGCCTTACATTGCCTTGGAGGAGCCTCACAAGCAGTGCTAGAGCCAGCTGCGTCCTTCGGGCATGGGGTGTGATGCACACATGTGCATCTGCACGGGGAACACCTCAGCTGTGTGCCTGCTCCCTGGACAAGGGCGATGTGGCTGGCGGATGGGGCAGGGAGCAGCTGAGGCCCCGTGGTGCTGGGCGTGAAGGAGGGTAGGAGCCCACAGACTTAGGAGACTGCCCAGGCCAACGCTGGGGAGATGAAGGTCTCCTCCTCCAGCTGATGCTCACTGAGAAGGGGACAGTGCTACATCTGTGTCCTCTGCATTACTCAGTCTGTGGCACCTTTCGCTGACAAGGGCACAGCTGGAAAGACAGAAGCCAAGCTGGTGACAGATGGGTTTGTTGGGGCTGCTCTAATTATTATTATTAATTTTATTTATTTATGTATATGATCTTGCTCAGGAGAATTGTGCATTAAAGCTATGGACACTTACTTGCTCTTTTCTTTCTCCTGAGTGCACTGTATCCCCCATTATCTGTCAGCAACCTAGGGTGGCCAAAGTTCTTTATGGCCTGGGAGAGAAATCCTCCTAGCTGACAGCCCAAGAGAGGTTCTGTTCTACCTCTTCTCAGTCCCTGTGACCCTCATCCCTCTCCAGCTCTGTTGGTTCCCAGTGTGTAACTTGTAGAGTCACCTGGAGCACTGAAAGTGCCGGCTGATGGCAGAGCTGGAACATGAGATAAACATGTCAGAATCTTTGCAAGGACAAAGCAGGAGATGTGAAGCTCCAGAGAACGACACTGCTGTGAGAGATGCTCTCCAGGTTCTCTCCATAGCACAACAGTGAAGAAGCTGCTTCTGCTGTGGATGTGCTCTGAGCCCTGCTGCATCACAGTGACGTGGAACCTGGGGCCTGGCACAGCCACTGGTAGGACAAGAGGTAATGGCCTTAAACTGCACCAGGGGAGGTTGGGATTGTCTATTAGGAACAATTTGTTCTGAGAAAAAGTGGTCAGACATTGGAACAGGCAGCCCAGGGAAGTGGTTGGGTCACTGTCCCTGGAGTTGTTTGAGAGCTGTGGACAGGTGGCAGGTAGGATATGGTTAGTGGGCATGGGGGGATGGTTGGGGTTGGATTGGGTGATCTTGGAGGTCTTTTCCAACCTGAATGATACTGTGATTCTCTGGGGGCACCAAGAGCAGAGCAGCTGGAGTTGGCTCCCTGAAGTACAGCCTCAGCAAGGTGATGTCCCTCCAGGGAACCACAGGGGTTTGGGGACACTGTCAGTAAAGCAAACAGCAGAAGCCCTTTGGGGCTCATCCTGAGCAAGAAGTCAGCACACAGCTCCACCACCGTCGTGTTGTGGGTCCTCTGCAATGGTCCCCGGAGCCACTAGATGGCAAGTTTGGCTCATGAACCCTGGGCAATATTTCACCTGCATCACGTCTGGGCCGAACCCCCAAACCTGGTCCATATCCCCCAGCACTGCACAAGGCCAGCTCTGTGCCAGCACAGCCACCATGCACGGCACAAGATGGGGACACCAGTGGCTTTTGTCTCTCTTCACCCGTCTCTTCCATCCTCCTCTTTGTCTCTCCGCATGCCATCACTCCTGCCTCTCCCCGTCACCTCGTTTCACTCCCCCTCCTCATTTCTCTCCCCCTCTCCCTCACCCCTATCCCCAGCCCATCACATTCTTCTGCAGCCTATTAATAACTTCTGGGCAATTGCACCGGGTCCCTGCTGGGCCCGGCCCCTCGCCCGCCGCTGCCCCGCGCAGCCACTGAGCGCGACGGCAGCAAGTTCAAAAGTGCAGAGGGGCTTTCACAGCCCTGCTCCCCGTCAGGGGGTGGAGGAGGCCGCTGGCAAAGAAAGGCCGCGTTGCCAGGGAGCCTGGCACAGGAAAAGGGGGTCACCGTCACCTCCGAGGGGACCGAGGGAGATGGACGCGAGCCAGCAGCCTTTTGGGATGGGGATGCTAGGAGCCACGCAGGGACGGAGGCTGTGATATGGAAGAGGGCGAATGGACCGCCGCGGGTCTGAGAGATGATGAGGAGAAATCCCACAGCAAAATCCCCCGTGCTCTATGGTAATAAGGGAGGTGTCCCAGGCGCCTGGAGAACAATGTTGCTGCAGTTGAGTGACTGTAACAGGCCCTGATGACAGCCGGGGCCGCGTTAAAAATGCCTATTCAAGCAGATCAAGACATTGAGAGGCCTCGTGGGGATCTGAA